TTGGCCTCAGCCCATTGATTCAGCCTATAATCAGGGTTTTGCCTCACAGAAACAGGGACTAGGGGTGCTTTAGGAGAGTAAAAAAAATAAAACCTCTTTTTACACTGGAGCAGACACATTCTTGGCTATAAAGTCTGATGCTATACTCTTTGCTTTCCTAAGGCTGAAAACTTTGTCCCTTCCTTCATCTTATAAATCAAAGAAAACAACCTGCCAAAGGCCCATTGCTCCAATATCCCTTCCTATCAGTAACTGGATTAGTCATGAGATTTATCTCAAATTGACCATTTGAACATAAAGGATAATATTTTGTAGTATTTGAGTTGAGATTGCTTCAGAGACAAGTTTTTTGAAGTCTGGAATAACCGAGCCAGCTCAAGGAGTTTCAGTACAACTCTGGTCTCAGTTGTGTGGATGACCCAGCAATGCCTATTTTCCTTACTGTAGTAGCAGAACTGTAAACTTAAAATATAATCTAAATATAAGATAGTACTTCCTAAGTATGTTGACTTACTTTCCCTCTGATGGCTTTTTTGAAATGACAATATTCCTTTAAAATTTTGGCTTAATTGCCAGAGTCCAATGATAGTTTATATAGCCATGTAACCATGTAAAAGAAGGTGAGCAGGATTAGCAGACACCTGAATAATGAAAAGCTATGAAAAAAACATGTTAAGAAACTACTGGTGTGTCCTATGCAATAAGGTGAAACAAAAAAGAAGACTAAGTACATGTTACAGTTCGGTTCAGTTTACAGTCACTGTAAATAGCTGATTTAATCAATCCACCAGGTGGTTAACCTTTGGCATGGCAGATTGCTTCCTCATTCAAACTTTAAGGTATTCTTATATGACTTAATAAGAAAGGCCACAAAAAATTAGAATTAAGTTTTGTGAATTTGGTGCAGATGGTGAAAAAGTCCAATCTTTTTCTGTTTCTGAAATTACTGAAAAAAATGCTAAAAAGTTTAAAATGGCCAGTTCATGCCAGTCAATTTAAGTTTTTTTTAGAAACAGCACTGCTCAGTATGATGCAGATGTCTTTACAATTAAGTTCTCATTACACTTTGCATAACTTCTAGCTGCAACAAGTTAACTTAAGTTTTTACATTTGTTATTTTCCATTCATCCACCCACCTAGTAATGAAAGAATCTCACCTAGAGAAAATCATACAACGTGAAATTAGTGAAAACTAATGTTTTTCCTTCTGGAAGAATCTGGTTACCCTATTACTGGAGTACATTTGTCAAACCTGGAGTAATTTAGCGTACCATGAGGGAGACTACATTTTCCAAGTTCAGCATGGAATTTTAACTCTCCCCTCTGCCCCTTCACACACATATATCGATATTATCTGAAATATTAGCTATCACAGTTCAAAAGGGGTTTGACACTTTCATAGCAGGAAAACAAATCAACTGTTATTTCAGCTGACCCAAGACACTTTTCTGCTTTTAACTGAGACCTGTTTTATTCTGGCAGAAGCTGTCATGAAGCTATTGAAGTTTTCACTAAGAAACAACTTTACTTTACTTGGAAACTTCCACCCAAACAATTACAGGATACAGAGGAAAAAGGTTAAAGGCATGCTCTAACAGGTATGAAAAAAAGGCAAATTTAGAACCATAACTGCTTCAATTTCTATTTCGTGTAAGCCTCTTAAACATCAGTTATTCCACTCTCCCTCCAAATGGCCTAATTTTAGTATAAATTCTATCAACATAAAGTGAAAACAAGGACATATCTAATAATAGAAATAGATACCCACTTCCTTCTATCAGAAACATACTGCGATTCAATAAACCCAACCAATCCAGCCTGAGACATCCAACACCACCAAATACACTCTTCATGGGTAGTAAATACATTCTCATAAATATTGTAGACACTGCTGAAGGTGATTAAGACGAAGGACTATACTGCACAAACAAACAAATAAAAATCATGCTTACCTTTGCCTGATGTTACTGTGCAGGGGCTGGTCATTCTGCAAATGGATCGGTGAGGCTGCCCGCTTTGGTGAAGAAAGGGACTCTCTGGGTGTCTGCTTTGGTGATATTGGCACTTCATTATAGGAGGAAGATTCTCGTCCCGAAAGTGAAAGGGAGACAGAACTATCCAGGGTTGCTGAAGGGTCAGAGGCCTGTCTAATGGCACTGTCATCATCTGCTTTTCTATCATTCTTCTCATTTGTGAGGTCTTCTTTATCTGGAACACCATCTTTTTCACAGCTGGAGTAATCTTTGGGTTCAGAAATCCCACTCTTTGACTCCTTTGTCTCAGTCCTAGACAAATACAAGGAACCATAGTCCTTGTTTTCATCATCTTGCCTTTCGCTTCTCACTCCCTTTCTTTCCACGCTGTCATGATCTTTCCTTGTCCGCGTATATCTGGATGAGTAGTCAGAATCCAAATCAGAATCAAGCGACAATCCATATTTTTCTGCCAGCTGACGCCGCCTCTCTGCCTTGTACCTAGCTATTCTTTCTGCTTTTGACTCTAGTTCCTGGACATCCATGGTTCTTGTACCATACAAGGGCTCTGTATTACTTCCTGTGACCTCTGCTCGGTATCTGGATGATCTGGGTTGTTTTTCTACAGAAGAATCTGAAGTTTCCTCCTCTTCATTTGATCTTCCTGTCAGAAGTACAACATACATGAGCAAGTTCATCCCAAAACTCCAAGTTCCCTACCCCATCATTCACTTTGAGTGAACTAAAAGCTTCCCATGTTCTTACAAATCAAAGAGTACTATTGACTGCACAGACACATTACGTTTTTGCACTTATGTCTCCAAAGGCACATACAAATGATTAAGAAATGTGTATCGAAACTATAATTCTTTAAGAGTTTCATATCAAATTATTGTTGTTTTAAAATGATATGGATAACCAACCTTTCTCAAATAAGACAACTAGATATCCAAAAGGCAAGTTAAAAAATCCCTGACCACAGCTTTTCTATAAAACTTCTCCCCATGTACTGTACAAACAATAGGGTACTAAACACGAAGTAACTCAGCAATGCAAGATTGACTGATACATACTACTTACCTAAGTGGGGACTGTATGGATCAGTTGCACGCATATACCTTGGTGTATCTTCCTCTAGTAAACGGTGCGTGACTGATCCTGGACAGTTTTGTAGAAGCATAGGTTGTGTATCATTTTCAATTCCCTCTAAGCGTCTAGCTATTCTCTCTTTTCTGAAAAAAAGATGTGAAAAATGTGAAATCAGGGATCTTTGAAGATTTGAGGGGAGAGTTTCTTAAGAGGAGGTAACAAAACAAGCCGTGTGTTTTGTTTTGCAGGCCAAAGACCTTTTTTTTTTTTACCTTTTCATTTCCAAAAAATCTTGGTTGTTTGGCTCAAACAGTTTTCTTAATTCTGAAACTGAGACAACAAAAGATTATACAGTTTATAAGCTACTAAGTTTCAGAAACTCACAGAAACTTGCTAAAATGCTTTAGAATAAGATGGAACAGTCAAATAAAGTTAAGAGGTTTGAAGTAGCTTTTGTTGGGGAACAAGCATTTTCCTCTTGTTTTCCTAGTTTATTAAGCTTGTGTTTTCAAAAGGGCATTAGGCACACAGGTGCAAACACCAAGGGGTTCTCCACTTCAGGTACTTCCAGGTTAGGCCAGAATCTCTGTGCCATCCTAGAAGTTTTAAAGATCCAGTATAAACTGGTCAATTTGTATTTTGATTAGCTGAGGTCAAGCTTACATACTATAATAACCTGTTTCAAAACCAGGTAGTTATGGCATTACAGTCTACACAAAGGCTGGGGACTGGCTATGTTTAAAGAGAATCAGTGTCCCCTTTTCCTTACTTTCCTCCACTCCCTTATGCTGAGCAAATCCCAAGAATCCCAGTGACTCATGGTTGGTGTAAAAATTACTGAGTACCCTTATGATATTCCTGCCTGGTTAATCACTTTCTACTTTGCTAATTTTCCCTCGTAGTTTTAACTGGACATACTTCCCTTCTCTCCCCCGAAACTGTTTGGTGGTGATATATGCTAGTAGACAGCTGTCACAGTTCACAAAATAGTAGTGAACCAACAGGAGGTGAGATAGATTAAGTAATTCCTCTCTCTCTCTCTCTCTCTCTCTCTCTCTCTCTCTCTCTCTATATATATATATATATATATATATACACACACATATATATATATACCCACACATATGTGTACAGTTATCAGTGATGTTTGCAAACCACACTGGAGCAGTGAGTGCTACATAAACAAGTGTGGTGTGACTTCTTACCACCAGGAAAAGAAACCATCCAGGCTGTCAAAGGATGCAGTGGACTGGGGTGAAAGGAAGGGGGGATGTGCCTAACATTCCCCACCCTTCCCCCATAAAATTGCCTTGGCAAAGATGTGTTGCTAAAAGCCATGTGCGTCTGTTCTGATGCAATGCACCTCTGGGGTTCTCATCCTGTTAATCTAGGGATCAAAAGTTAAAGCAAGCTGAAGTCTACAGCCTGCTAAATCAGCCCTAGATTGTCACCAGAAATGCCTGATGAGTCAGGAGTATACTCTAGTAGACACTGCTCCACCTCACTGCATAAGCAAATCTATCAGCTTTTTTTCCCTACCAGACTTCATTGCTCTAGATACTTAGAAGATAAACATTACTGAAACACCACCATTTTAAAGATCAGATGCACCTTTTCTTTCCCTTTGCTCTACTGCAAGAACTTACACGCAGAACTAAGTCAGGGTTTCAGCTTAGCTGACACACATCCAGGAAGTTTACTGTAGTCAATACCAGTGCTCATACCTCATAGATCCAGATAGGTACTATTGACATCGGCTGTCATATCAACTTTACGTGCTGAAGAGCCACTAGGACTCCCAGTAAAATGTCTTGGATCAGCAAGAATGAATGTATTCTGAGCATGACTACTCAGAAAAGAAAATGAATGAGGTATGAATATAGCATCTCAGGCTACAGATGAGTGCCTACTGAGAACGTGTGATTAACAGAGGAAAGAAGTCAACTGGCCCACTCTCCAAAAGAATCCTTTAGTCTACATTTTACAGAAAGCAGACTCAAGCTATCCGCTTCAATTTCTCAAGCCAGGTTAGCTCAGATTGTGATCACGCCATGAAAACAATCCAATACACACACATTTGGTGCAACTAGCAATGTAGCTACCGAACAGCACTAACCCAAGGGACACCTCTTCCATGCCTTGTTTCAGCATCTGCAGCAAAACAGATTGAAGCCTATGTTGTGGACCAGGTTGGCAGTGCAAGAGAGCCACTGAAAGTTGGCAAAAGCTCCAGGCACAGATCTCTGGAGACAGATGGGAACTGCGCTTGGGCAATCTAAAATTTGCATCCTGAACCTACATCAAAGCAAAGATGGGTCCTTAAGTTGTGTTTTCATGGATTTTTCTCCCAATGCTTGAGCAGTTCCTGCTGCTGCCCTATCTACTCAAGTGAAACTGTGTTAAAGGGAGAACTTATCCACATGAAACCATCCTTCATCTCACATTCACACCAAAGGAAATGATTTCTCATCAATACTTTGCTCTCACCTCTGTCAAATCTACTTCTGTTTAAGTCTGTTCCTCTGGCTATTAGAGTTTTTCTGTTCCATGTGTTGGCTATACACGCATAAAACGGTGAAAACAAACCCCATAATTGTTCTGTCACTTCAGACAGGTCAAAGGCCTCCACAGCTCACAGTTAATAAAATCACATTCCATCCAAATCCCAATCATTTTTCTTGCCTAGACACCGATTTACACAGACTCTAAAATCATTATCAGAGAACTGGTCTTTTGTACAACTTCAGTAAAGCTCTAAAGCATAGCTGTATATACTTTTTTTTTTAAACCCAAAAAAGGAAACCTGACTATAAGTTGTCCACACAGAAGCAATGTGGAACATCTAAAGAACTCCCAGCAGCACTAGCTCAACACCCTCTTGCTACGCATTAGCTAAGTTCCAGAGATTCTACCACTGCTTTGCAGCCCTAAAAAGAGCACTAGCCTCATGAAGCATCTCTCCAACACCTTCCCAAACAAGATGGGACAAAAATAGCATGGGACCACTCTATGCTGCCTTACACTTTTTCCACACTTGAGATTCCAGACAGTAATTTCAGCCAGGTTGGCCAACATCTGCCGAGCTTTTTTGTGAAAGTAGTTTCAGCAATATTCTTCTTCTGGGGAGGTGGGGAAAAGAAGCACAAAAAAAGGAAAAACAAGAAGATAAAAATGCAGGAAGTCTTCTACTCTAGTAACTTCTTTTTGCTGAATAGAATATTTGACTTCAAAACATAAAAGCCAGTTGGAGAAATTTCACACCCAAGGACACTGGTTGTCCCTTGCAAGCTTAGGTGATCAGGTCTCTTTTTTAGTTTGCAATTTGAGTATGTTGGTGCCAATTCCCATCTGTTCATGGGATGTTTTTTCCACATGACCATCAGAAACTACACCATTTCAAAGACACCCATGTCAGCATTAAAGAATAACAATTCTACCTAAACAGCAGCACAAAGATATGATTCAGCACACAAGAAAAGACTAAGAAGCTTAAAATCATTAATTTCACAGTAAAAGCTCCTTATCTAAGTTACTTCATGCCAACACACTTTGTAAGCACTGTTGGTTAGTACAGTTAAGAGCACGAGGAGGAACAGCCACAGTTCAGGAACAGTCTTGAACTTCAGCCTTTATTTTAGGATGTTAAGCAGTAACAGTAGGATACCCCTTACAGTAGGGCTGTCAAGAGGCATCTTAATTTTGGTAGCCGTGGACCTTCTAGGCAGAATTTACCTAGCATTTACTAGCATTTAGCAAAAGCAGTATTGTTCCATGTCTTGTCCCAGAATAAAACCCCAAAAGTACACATGGAGCGCATCTTATAAAAATGTTTTAAAATCTCCTTAAATTATGGTGAAAGATTTCTTATAGAATTCAGAAATCTTGCAGAAACATTTGCCACAGAATATAAATATGTTTTTGCTGATAGTCCTCTTTGATAACAGCAGAGGGGATATGTGTGGATAAAGTTGCAGGGATGTGACAGTTTTATTTTTAAAATACAGAAGCTGTAAAAACTAAATAAAGTCTTCCAAAAGTCCCTAGCAGAGCGCGAGCACATACATTTGTGAAGTCTGAATAGATATGGATAAAAAGTTTACCCGCCAGAGGCTTAATTTCTCAGAGATGGTAAATAACCACTGCAATGCAGGTATATACATTTTCATTTTGAGGAAAATTTAACACAATAGTGAAGCCTGCCAGCCTTGTTCCTATCCTCTTCTCTCCTCACCTGTAAAGATGATGGTCTGCAAACCAGATTGGAGAAGCATTTATCTTCTATTTATGCTAGCAGAGACACACTGACATGTTCAATGCTTAACTGTGGGCAGCAGTGTGTGAGATTTCAGCTAGACTCTTTGAACCTCAGTTCAATCTGTATCAGCTGAAAATTAAATATATTCCTCCTATTTTCCAACATGTGCAAATCTGGATCAAAGTCAGGCCCTAGATGGGACAAATAACCTGGATTTTCAGAAAGTGTTTGACCTCAACTAATTTCCTCAGAATGTAACCATCAGCTCCCACGACCAACCTTTTCTTAAGTCTGGTACACCCAAATCTGCTGCCTTTATTATGAGAGCAAATAGAGACATCTTGGAATAGAAATCAGTTCACTGAGAAGCAACTTACAGAGAAGGTTTCTCAAGTGAAGGCTCTTGCAATTAACTAGCTGGTCAGCACGACTGTAAGGCTAAGTATATGGAATAATGAGGGACTGAGTATTCCTGCT